TGCATGCCCGAGTGTCACTTACGGCCCCATGAAAGTTTCGACCGGGAAAATTATCTCGAGAACCGCGGAAGTTGGGAATCTGTAATTTTAGGGTGATCTCCTCTACCAACGTACAACCTCGCAAATGGGTTTCACCCTTCACACACTCCTGGATACCACGTACGGCCTCGTGAAAGTTTTGATAGAGAAATTATCTTGTGTGCGTGAAATTTTTAGTTGGAAAATTCGCAACTTAAGAACCAGACAACATCTTAACTATTTTTGCACAGACCACAATTTAAAGCAGTGAAAATCATTAGCAGGCAATCGTTCGGGGGACGAATTTCACAAAACGCGTGATCGCACCGGCTACCCAGGTGCGCGCCGCTGCTTATTTAATGCCCATTCTGTCATATTGAAAGCCTGTTACAGATTGCAACAAATTACACTGGAATACAACGTGTGGAGAAACTTCTAGAAACTGTTCGAGCGTTACCCGCCGAGAACCTTGCGACATTGGCTTTTCTTATGCGTCAGCTGAAATACGTAAATTTTACAGTTAACCAGTTTTATAATTTTATATTACAGGTTGTACTGTAGCCCTGTCTATGGACTTTTTTTTGCAGCAGAGGAGTTAGCTTAAACATACTCTTAAGTTTGTTCATTCCTTCGAGCTTACTTCTGTAACAAGGGGTTTTTTGCATGCTCATACAGTTACAGTTTTGTTATGCTGATCATTATTCCTGTGTGCTGTAAATTACAGTTCCAGTTTTAACATGAAAATGATGTTTGCAACGTACTGTAATTCATCTTGTTATCGAATTCTAGTTCGGAGATCGTCACGAAGCTCATCGCATGACTGTTGAGAACATTGCTCGAGTTTTCGCACCTTCACTGTTCCGTGATAATCCACCGCCAGCGCCAAGTAAACGAAAAAGAGGGTCCCAGGTTCGTTGTGGATTCTTATTCTTCAATTTTACAGAAGAGAAAAAAAACTTCCCAATGGACATGCCTTTTCCCTCGATCACCGCGTTTTTGTTACTTTTTTTTCATTTTGCAGCCGATATAGCTGAAAGATTGGCCGTTTTGAGTTTGTTGCATCAATGTTTGGTAGAGCATTGTTAAACGGATGCCATTTTAGGACGATTTGATCATTAGTGTGCGAAATGAAAATGAGCTTCGAATTGCAATCATAATTGATTTAATTGATAATGCGCATAAGATTGGCGTACCACGTGACTATTATCTTGCCTCACGTCGTCCTTCTGACGCTACGCAGAAAGTTTTTGGGGGTAAATTACCAGAGATTGCTGGTATGAGAAGTGCATCCGCGAAGCCAATTTCCAGGTCTGATGCTTCATTTTCTGCAACATTTTCATCTAAAAATACCGAAAGGTTCAGTGTGCTGCTTGTAAATCTCTCATCAGTTTTTTTTCTTGGTTTACTGAATGGGATATTTTGATTTTTCCTCTCGTTTTATTGTTAAAAGCTTTGTAGAAATTTGTATAATTTCTGAAACCTTTATGGTTCCTGAAGGAAAGGCTAGGATTTTTGCGACTTTAGGCTGTTTGTAATTTCTAAAGTGATGGTTTCTTGGAAGCTTTTTATGATCTGTTTATAGCATGTGCTGATTTGTGCGGGAATTTTCAGAAATACATCGTCGGTATCGGCAGCAAAGCATAAAGTAGAGGCCAAAAAAGATCGGAAAATGGCGAAGCAGTCATCGTTGAAACTCACTGAACAGTATAAAGTTGGTATTTTTCATTTACCATGCTAACATTTTTAAAAGCGCACACCAGAATAGCCGGTGCGATCATGCGTTTTGTGCAGTTCCGCCTGTTAATGATTTTCACTGCTATGCACTTAGGCCTATGCAAAAATAGTTGAAATGTTAAAAAATAATTCCACGCACCGATACATGAAAGCTGAATCTGAAACCTCGAAAAGTGGATATCCTTCTAAAATTTCAATTTCATAATTTTCTGGCTTTCGAATGGTCTTTGAGTCAAAACGTCCACGTGTTCGTACGTGAGACTTGGGCATAATTAGGAACTGAATTGGAGTTTGTAAAGCCCCTTCTTAGTTAGAGAACATTGTCCAGAAACTTTCAACCTCTTGACTCTTCTGGCTCCCGAGATGATGATTTTTCTCGCTAAAACTTGCACGGGACCGAAACTGATTCCCGAGAGCGCAGGAACACTAAATTTGAATTTGCAAGGAAGTACGTGGTCAGCGGGGTTCCCCACCAGAAACTTCCCCACCAGAAATTTTATGACCCTCACGTAGTATCTGTAGGCACGAGAAGGCTGAATTTTAGTAGGAGGAATCGCACGTAGGCGGAGAACAAAGCTTCACAATTTCGGCTTCTTAGCTCTCGTGGTTCCCGAAATATTTTCCCCACCAAAACTTTACTGAGCTATATACGTTGCTCGCGGTCAGAGGAAGGCTAAATTTAAATTTTTTGGGTCGTACGCAGGCAGGGGACATGCCTACGAAATTTCAGCCTTCTAGCTTTCGTGGTTCCCGTGATAATAATTTTGCTCTCCAAAATTTTTGCGGAGCTGTACATTTTACTCGCGGGCAAGAGGAGGTTGTATTTAAATTTGCGGGCTCACACAGGGGCGGGAACATACCTCTCAATTTTCAGCTTCCTAGATTTTGTGATTCCGATTTCAAAGTT